CTAAACCCTAAAACCCTAAATCCTAGTCTGTAAGGCCCCTACACCTACACCCTCACGAGGAGCCCTGCATTCCTCCAGCATGACCCGGCGGCAGGCTCCCTCGACTCTAAGGGTTTCTTTCAGGGGTGGTATGGGGTAGTACATCGTTCACTTGAAGGGCTCCTTTAAGGGATTTTTCTGAGGGATCCTCTAAGGGTAGTATAGTAAGGTTCCTTTACGGGCTCCTTTGAGGGTTCCTTTCAGTGTTCCGTCAAGGGTTCCTTTAAGGGTTCGATGAAGGGTTCCTTTAAGGTTTCTGTCAAAGATTCCTGTAGGGGTTCGGGTTTTGGGTTTCAGATTCAGGGTCTAGGACGTCTGGGTTTAACACAGCGGGGGTACGGGGAGGTGGAGCTCAGGTACAAAATTCTGTTGGGGGGCTTTGGGCTCAGAGTTTCGCTTTAGGTGGGGCGTTCGGGGGATCGATCAAAACCTACTTTTTAAGAACATGATAGGCCAAGGGCCTAATTGGGGCTTAAGCATGAAGGTGTAGGTTGTTGTAGGTATGTGCCGTGCCCCGCATTTTCCGGTCTGTGCCTGCCGCGACCCTGAAACTGAAAGAGGTGTCTTGAGGAAGTGTCATAGACCCTACGTCTTCTGAGCTAGTAGTTAGTCTGAGCTTGAAGCCCAAATCACAAGTGACTGCTGGAATCGTGGCGCCCCAATCCCACTCCATCAAATCGTGGGAGGGAGGTTCAGTTGATGGGAAGATGTCTTTTCTTCTTCTTGCCCACTCCGTAGTTTATGGCAGTTCGGGCAGCCGTGAGAAGCCGCAGAATCTGCGAAGCAGTGTATCAGACACAGCACTCAGGATTTGAACCTGGACTTAAACCCTAAGGGCCTTAAGCCCTTGAACCCTGTGACTCTAAGCCCGTTCGACAGCCCTTTGCCACCATTGAGGGCAGCACCGTAAGAGTACCACAAGACCCTAAACCCTAAACCCTTATTGGCCCTAAACCAAACCCTGAACCCTTAATCCTTAAACCCTGACCTCTAAAACCCTAAACCCTCAACCC